TTGTTGAAGATCAAGACATACTGTAACATTATCGGAAATATAATAGATCTACAGTAAACACATTTACAAGACATGATACAAACACGGCTGAAGCATCAACTTTTAAAAGACAATTTAAATCAAATTTTGTTAAATCAATGCAAATCAATCAACTGCTTTTATTAAATAAAGTTTCACAAACAGCTCAAATGAACATTTTAAAAGCATCATGTATACAGCAGATTTATGTGTAAATGTTTAAATGTAAATTCGGCCCCACTTTATATTAAGTGACTTACTATCTACTTGCATAAAACAAGTACAATGTACTAACTGTGTTCATATTGTATTGCACAACACTTATGGTGCTGTGGAAGTAGAATACGGGTAAGTTTAGGGACAGGTTTGGTACTTCGAATAGTTTTATTGGAGGGTAAAGGTGTGAGAGACAGTTCAAAAGTGTAATTAATTGTAATTACAAAACATTACAATACATACATTTTTAAAAACATAAATACAATATAAAAACATGTATCCACAGAATAATTGCAATGAACCAATTGATTAAGTTAAATGCGTGTACATAATTAAGGCCACTTAATATAAAGTTTGTCTACACATTTTAGTCTAAATATAAACTAATACAATAAATGTAATGTAATGTTTATTTATATAGCGGAGTTATTGTGTATAGCCATACACCCAAATCACTTTACAATCGTGGGGGGTGGGGTGGAGTGGGGCGGTCTCTCCACTTTGGCCAGGACACTGGGGTTACACCACTACTCTTTATGAGAAGTGCCATGGGATTTGTAAGGACCACAGGAAGTAAGGACCTTAGTTTAACGTCTCATCCGAAAGTCGGCGCTCACTGACAGTATAGTGTCCCCTTCATTATACTAGGGCATTAAAACTCACGCAGTCCGCAGGTTGAGCGCCTCAGTTTTTCCCATGTGGTCTTTCATCCAGGTACTGACCAGGCTCAGCCCTGCTTAGCTTCAGTGAGTAACTGGTCTTGGGTGGCTGGGTGATATAGCTGTAGATCTATACAATTAGGTCCATTAGGTCTATACAATTTAATCTAAATTCATTATTAATATTATTTGACCTTTCAAAACCATTTGAATATGCAATTTAATGATTATAATATTAAAAGTATTGTAATAGTATAGTAATAATGTTATTAGCAAATGACATCATATTCACTTTACTCATAGCTGATTTTTCATGTTTGGGCTTGCAATCTCTATCCTAGTGTAAAACCTTCTCCAGAGCAGGTTAGCAGTGTACTAGTAATTTACCATGGCAGTAAAACCAACCCACCTTCTAGAGATTGCTCAAACTAAATTCAGACTTACCTGGCTAAAGTCCGAAACCGACTTCGTGCGACAGGCCTCATATGTGGTGATGGTGTTGTGGTGGTGTGAAACATGTTTATACACGCAATTCACATGAGTGTTTTGCTGACCCAGCCGAACCAGTGAATCACCACACTCCTCCAGACTTATTACATACAGCGGCAAAGTCAGATGAAGCGGAAAGGACTCGAGGAAAGGGTGCAAGGGGACAATGAAGTCCCCTTGTTCCTCTCTCTCAGAGACGCTCACAAGGTTTGGGTCATTTATGGGAAGTGGAGGAAGCAATTGGCCAAAGTAGAGAAGTTGTGGACACTGTAATCTAAGACTTCATGACTAAGGATTTCCCTGTGACTCTTGCTCGCTCTCCCTCTCTCTGTTTCTTTGGCTATTGGTCACGAGGGATGGCGCTGTCAGCTAACACAGCCTCTGGTATAAGAGAACCGCTTCAACATGAAGGCTCAGTGTTCTGTTAGGACGCCATTGGGGTATGGACTTACATGAGGATTGTGTATTATTTTTGTGACGAATAGGACGAGATAATCAACCATTGACCACCATTCTTTATTGGCACTGCCTGTCTACAGCTTCATTCAAGGTACCAAGGGTGAATCATTACTGAGATTTGGGTATAATTTGATATTAACGACTCATAACTGGCTTGATTATTGACTTGTTGGACACACAATCTGTATTTATTGGAAGGCCTGTCAACAGTCAGGATAACTGTTTAATTTAGCTTGACATGATCTGGGCTTGTCATTCCAGTGTTGCGTTGGGGTCTTGTCAGACACGTTTGACCTCACCATTGCTGTGCAGCTATTTAAATAATGTTTATAGGTGAATATGAATGAATGGCCATTTTTAGAATAAATCTGTGACAGGGATACATAAACATGCATGAAGGGAATCCGTAAGTGCTTGTTTTGGACAGAAAGCTGCAGATTAACTTTGAAGCGAACGTTCACTGAGAACTGAAAATTATGTCATCATTTACCCAACCTCAACCTTGAAACTGTTTGAGGTTCTATTTTTTTCTGTTGAACGCAAAAGAAGATGTTTAAAAAAATGCTGGAATACTGTAACCATTGATTGCAATAGTATATGTCTTTCCTACCAAGGAAGTCAGTGGTTACAGTTATTTTGTATTCAACAGAAGAAAGAAACTCAAAAAGGTTTTAAAACACTTGATAGTGAGTAAATAGTGAGTATCCCTTTAACCTTTTAGGGCTTAGTGCCCACTTTCGTGGACAGCACATTTTAGCTCTTATGTTTTATATTTTGTTACAGACATACAGTGTCATCCTGCAACTGTTTTTTCAGCATATGAAATTTCCCAAACACTGTTTTAACTGTCCAAAAGGATACTGATAGTCAAAACATGTTAAAAAATATATGTGCATGTGTTATTAATCCATTAAAAAACAGTCAGGGAAAAAAAAATGATGTGTTCAAGGCAGATATAAAGAGTTTTTAAATCTATTACACAAAGGTAACTTTACTGTGTTTTATGGAAATTCGGACCATGAGTCCACATATATGGACATAATTTTTTAAAAGTACATCATATCAAAAGATGATTCTCAGGTTTTATTCTAATTACAGTTGGTTCCAATAAGCCAAAATAGCAAAGAGAAATAAAAAATAAAAAAACGCATGTAAAAAAACAGCTTGGGCCTTAGGAGGTTAAATATAGTAAGCTGAGAGTATGACAGTGGTTTATATTCATTGATTCACTTTGGAGTATGATTGTTGTCAATGCTGTTTCGTTGTACTCATGTGGATATCGTATTAAAACACAAAAGCATAAAATATGAAGAAGCACAATGAATTCGACCAAATATAAGAAAAAAAATTTCAGCTGAAATCCCTTTTGTTTTTGTATATTTTTTTCTTTAAAACAGAACTTTTTCAATTAATATTAGCGTTTTATTATTTCTAGTATTGTTTAAGAACTGTTTGTCAATCGTATATCAAGAAACTATACGCACATCGAAGGCACATGCTTGATCAAAAACAAACACAGTGGTGAAAGATCAAAAAGAAAATCGGCACACTGCCACTTTAGCTCTCAATTTTTTTTATTATAACAATGTTTGGACCTACATGGTCTTTATATATCATATATACCCATTTATTTTCATAAGTATTATTAACTACATTAACTACAGTGTCAGGTAAGGGTGTTGTGCTTTTATTGAAGGGATAATGACAATTCTTTTGGAGGTTGAACAATTTTTTAAATGTTTTCGGAGTTGTGCCTGTTTAGCAAATGAACTTCACAGGCTCACTGATTTACAATATGATCGGTCAATTTAACAAGTGTAATGTAAAGTTAGTTATTATGTCTTTTCCTGGATTTATTCTGCTCCAGGAGTCAGTCTGTTGACTGTAAACAACACAACAATGCAATAAATAGTTTTGAAGAATAATTTGCTTTGTCATTGAACCTGAGAAAAACTTTGAAAATAATCATAATGACGTAGTCTCCATGCTATAATAATAATGATGGAGACATTTTTAACTGCGGGGACATATCTTTATTAGTACAATTCGGCTGTATTATTTGTGTCCCTTCAAAAAAATTCTCGAAAGAAATTTTATATTTGATGTCCCCCCTACTGTTAAATCAGATTTACGCCCAAGATCACAGGCATCAAAAACGCATGCAAATGATAATTTCTAATACAAACTTAACATTGCATATATCCTGCGATGTGACTATTGTGAATGATCGCATTGCGATATCAATGCTGAAATGATATATTGTGTAGCCCTAATTTAAATTTTTATAATGTTAACTAAGAAGTACATTTGCAACAATGTAGTGCAAATGATTGAAAGCGTTTGAAAATCATTTTACTTATTTATTTTTTACAGGGAAAACGGCATATAAATACATGTACATATGTATAAATTTAAAAATTTCTAATTTAGCAGTAAAATTTAAGTTGTAGTTCATTTTGATAACATATTTTATATAAAAACTCATTTTAATTAGCCTTTATTGTTTTACATGCTCAAATTTACAGTAAATATTAGCATATACATATTTGATGTATTATCTAAGACAGTGTTTCTCAACCATGTTCCTGGTGGACCACCAGCACTGCATATTTTGGATATCTCCTTTGTCTGTCACGCCCATTACAGGTCTTTCAGTCTCTGCTGATGAGCTGGTGATCTGAATCAGGTGTGTGTGTGGTTAAGGAGACCTGGAAAATGTGCAGAGCTGGTGGTCCTCCAGGAACGTGGTTGAGAAACACTGATCTAAAAGATACAACTTTGTAAAATTTTTATTAGTTTCTTTAAAACTTTTATTTTGCATTATTTTTACAGAAAGAAGAAAAATATACATAAAACTACTTTTTAATATCCATTAACATGAATACTCATATGACTTCCATCAACCTCGCTGTCTAGAATATCTTGACTTGAATTAAACATTTCAGCCGTTAACCCAGATATCAAATGCACATATAAATAGCCATATCTGCAATGCACCTGTTGCCCTATTACGTTGACCGCTAGAAAAAGCACAAGCACAACTGCAGCCTTCCCATCATTCCCATTCATCCAGTCACAGCCAGGCCGGACACCTCTTCATGTTACTCACAAATGGACAAACGATGACCACTAATACACATCTCTATGTTTCTCTTCCAGTTTTTCAGCCCACTCATAAGCAGGCACCCAGTCATGTAGAGAGCAGCGCGTGGAGGACACCCAGATCACTTTCAGCAATTTTCAACACAAAGAGGTAATTGTGAGTTATTTCTCACAGAGAGAAATGAATAAAGGCACAGAAAGCGCTGGAGAATACGCCATTCAGCACGTCCTAGCGCAGCTGAGCCTGTCTGTTAGGAAAATCCATCGGGACGTTTGTACATTTTACTGTAAGCAGCGTCAAAGATGGAAGTTGCTTTCGGTCATTATTGAGTTATGATTTCCTGTTGAGTAATCTGTGACATGGGTTGAGTAAATCTAGCGAGTCATCTAAAAGATTTAAATACATGTAAATAAATCAGATATATAACTTTAAATTAGGGCTGCACAATATATTGTTTTATCGCAATGTGCGCATTTGCAATAGTCATATCGCAAAGATATGCAATGTCCTGTCTGAATTATAGTTAACCAGGAGCCACGGAATTCTATTCAATCACTGAATTTGTATGTAATACATATGATTTATACCAAAAAATAAACATTTTGGTAACACTTTATAATAACCACACAATTAATCATTTATTAAGCATTAGCATATAGTGAATTCATTATTTGTTAAGCATTAACTCTACATTAAAGGACCATGAAAGCCCCCTGTCTCAGCAGGGTGTTTTCACACCTCTAGTTTCTAGTTTCGAGTCCAGTTCTGTTTAGGTGGTAGTGTCATGGGAGGGAAAGAAGGAAGGGTTTGCATAAAAATGGGAGTTTTCGGTTCGAACACGCGCTGATTTTCACCGAGGCAAATCAACAAACAGACGCAGGAGAGAAAGACAGTGATTGATAACATGGACATCAGTAATCAAATTATTTGCCAACTTTTTAATTTGTCAACTTTAACTTAATTTAGTAATATTTAATTTAGTAATGAAAAATTAATCAGTAACAAAGTATAAAAGAACAACAATTAAGCACATTAAACTTGCTTTATAATGAACTTGTTACAATAAAAACATAAACGTTTATAATAACACAATGGTGTTCAATGCTAAATACACCAGTCAGAACCTGTCTTTGCTTGTTGATGTCTTGTGTATTGTCCTCTAATTTTGAGTGACAGTATTTACCTTTTTAAAAATCTTATTCACAGTTGAAACATTTCATTTAATTTGAAATGAAAGATTACCATGGGCCAACTTTGGCCCGCAGGCCCTACTTTGGGCATCTCTGCTGTACATACACCAGACTTCAATGTATCCATATCTGCTTAAATATTTTATTGTGTTAAAGTTGTGAAAATAAATTTGTTTGCATGCGCCTTCGCAGTATTTTCAGATTTATTGAGTGATGAAGCAAGATACCAGTGGCACAGTTGTTTAGTGGGTAGCAATGTTGCCTTAAAGCAAGAAGGTCTCTGGTTTGAGTCCTTTCTGGGCCAGTTGGCATTTCTGTGTGGAGTTTGCATGTTCTTCCCGTGCTCTTGTGGGTTTCTTCCTTGTGGTCCGGTTTCCCCCACAGTACAAAGACATGCGCTATAAGTAAATGGGGTAAAACAAAATTGACCATAGGGTAAGAGTGAATGAAAGAGTGTATGGGTGTTTCCCAGTACTAGGTTACAGCTGAAAAGTCATTCTTTGCGTTAAACATTTGCCATAATAGTTGGCGGTTCATTCCGCTGTGGCGACCCCTGATAAATAAGGGACTAAGCCCTAAAAATATTCCAAATTGACTCCCAACATGTCAAAAAAGCCCCAAAAAACCTTGAGTTTTGAGTGTGACTTCATCCAGTGTTCAGATTTTGTGCATAAACATAATTATGCTGTAAAACATTTAATAAAATAATGCCTTATTTGCATATAAAAACATTATTTAGGAAAATCTGCAATACAAAGAATGTTTGCTACATTTGATTAATTAACGGACAACTATTTTTTTTTATGCTATTCACCTGCAGTATAAAATGTAAAATATACAATGACAAAATATAGCAAACAACAAATGGGGAAAATAAACATTTGTTGTTGTTTTTAAGTCTAGAAGAGTCTAGATCTTTTCTTGGTTGTTTCTTGTCTGTGAAAAGCTCTGCACGTGGTTCTAACTGCACGCCACAGCATTTACCATGTTGGATGATTTTTTTTTATAAACAAACTTCTCAATAGCGGCATTGTTGGATAAGAATACACAAATATATGAGAGTCAAGAGGTCAGATGGTAATTGGCATGGTAAAGACTGTAGAAAGCAGGCAGTTGTGTTGTTTGTGTATGTTTTGAACATTTTGAAAGAAGTCACTTACAGGTCATTATAGGTAATGCGTTAGAATCTAATCAAGTTACACTACACACTCTAATTGAGCCTAACAATGCTGTAGATTTTATCAAGCATAACGTGTTTACAACAGTGACATTTTAATAATGTGGGATTCTTCATCCTCATTTTATTGTATTTTCACTTTTTTTAATATAACTTTACGACATTTTATTGAGATGAAGCTCTCTGTGCTATAAAAATATATATTAGTATAGTTGTTGTTGTCGATTTGGTCACACTTTATTTTGACGGTCCTTTTGTTGAATTTAAGATACATTGCATTCCATGCTGGTGAGGCAGTGGCGCAGTAGGTAGTGCTGTCGCCTCATAGCAGGTGAATTTGGTAGGCTAAATTGTCCGTAGTGTATGAGTGTGTGTGTGTGTGAGTGTGTGTGTGTGGATGTTTCCCAGAGATGGGTTGCGGCTGGAAGGGCATCCGCTGCTGGATAAGTTGGTGGTTAATAAAGAGACTAAGCCGACAAGAAAATGAATGAATGAATGAATGAATAAATGAATGAATGAATGAATGAATGCATTCCATGCTAACTAATTCTCATTAGATTATAAGTAGACTGTTAGGTTGGGTTTAGTGTAAGCTTACATGTACTTGCAAAGTTTCTTATAGTCAGTTAAATGTCTGTAGATGGAGCAGTATCAACAGATATTAAACAGACAGTAATACTCAAATGGACCATCAAAATAAAGTGTTACTGTTGTTTTTATTGTATATTTTATTCCGCAAGGATGCATTTAAGAAAAAGTGACCATAAATGCTTTTAAACTAACAATAACTTACTTTTGAATAAATATTGTTGTTTTAAACTTTCTACTGACAAACAAATCTAATAAATTATTAAGCTGCTGTTTTCTAACATTAAAAATAATAAAACATTTTTATTGAGCACTAAATCATGATATTGTCATGGTTAATAAAAGGACCATGTGACACTGAAACCTAGAGTAATAGCTGCTGAAAATTCAGCTTTGGCTCATATGGCTTAAATACTTTTTAATATGTATTAAAATAGAAAATAAGTTTAATATAGAATTTAAATAAAAATGCTTGTTTTTTTTTTTGCTCTGTTTTCAGTAAAATAAATATTTTTTTTATTATTTTATACGAGTAAATTTGTATATTTAAATTTATTTTAATTTATACGGTACTCAGCATAATTGAGTAGACCCCATTTTGAAAATGAATATTTTTCTCAGTTTTTCAATACATATGGGTGTTGTATTTTGTTGTATTTTGTATTTTGCATGTAAACAAAAAATATTTATTAACAGATATACTACATTTATTAAAATCATATTTTAGTCACCAAACATATTTAAAAATTGAAAGATAATACAATTAAACTCAAGCTAAATATAGCAAAACAAAGTATAACCTACAAAATTTCAATAATTTTTCAAATTTATTGCTTCTCTTGATTTTTCCTCTCTTTTAAAATTTGTATTTATTATGTTTCTATAACATATAAATTTGGCTGTACTAGTTTTTGGACAGTAATTGTAAGTTATTGTGTTAGATTATCTCCAGATTTGGCTTGGGTACTGACTAATCTAATGTATATGCACAAATAAAGTGTTTTATAGCTTTCTATTAAAAATATGAATTTAAAGAGAGATTTGTGAGGTGTCAATGTGTATATGCTGAGCACTGTATATGGAATTTTAATAATGCTTGATATAAAACACACAGCATTTTTAATTTGCCATGTTGGCAATTTTTCAACCCACTGTAAAATGAAACGGCAGATCAGTTTCGGAGTGGAGTAAGAACAGCAGAATCAGTGGCTATAAAAGCAGAAGTTTGAGTGATGTTTATTTACTTGATTGCAAGAGTTTGTGAGTGATGTAATTGCTGTGTTAATGCTGTCCCAAAAGGCATGACCATGCACATGACACACGCATCATTTGGGGATTTTTTCTTTATTTTCTTAAAATGACGGGACATAAAATAATATTTTATGTGCATTAATGAAGTTAATGAAGCTTCATACATTTAAAGTAGAATGTTTTTTTTTTTTAAATAACTGATTCATTGTACAACATTTATAAACAAATACATGATATACAGTATCCTTACAGAAAGAGTGCATTAAAAGTTATATTAAATTTGTGTATATTGTTAATGGGTACCTTAAAAAAATCTGACTTTCAAGAGAATAGTAACATTTTATCTTGTAAATATTTGCAGTTTTATTATTCTGCACATTATTTTTTGTATTTTATCATGCCTTCTGTCTGTATTTAATGCAAGTATTAATTACTCCATTATGCATAATGCTGCCTTTAGGGTGTTTTCACACCTTGTTTGCTTTGTTACATAGCATTACTTCCTTGCCAAACTTATGTAGGTTTTAACAAATTTGCATAATTAAACTCTCTGGTAATCCATGACTGTCTGTAAACAACACATTCTTGGATCCTCAAACACTGTAGTTGAAGCTGAGCCAAGGAAGAGTTTGCAAATGCAGAAAAAGATTATAATTTGTGCATTGAAAGCAAACTTGCATGCACCCCGAATGATGTGGATTCAGTGCTCAAATTGATACAGTAAAACTGGGACCATTGTTACTAATGCTGTCTGTGTTCACAAGTGGTTTTTACAATGTGCTGTAAACTTTTTTGACCAATTTGACAAATTTGACCAATAAAAACAGGCTGTGCCTTCTGACCAATACAGAGTAGAGTATGCCCTTGAATAAAAAGACTAGATTCTTGAGCAAGCTGTTTTAGGGGTCAGCGCTTCATACTGGCTTTGCATACGTAATGCAGCG